GGTTGGTGGCCGTTGGATCGGCGAATGGACGGCTCAGATCGCCGCCGGCTGATTACAGTACAAGAGAAGCTTGAAAGCCGGCTGTCGTGTGAGAAGGGAGATACAGAGCATACAGTGCTGAAATAGAAGAAGCGGTCATAGACGTCACTGTCACAGAAATGGTTTCCGGAAAATGAAATCTTCAGTTTCCGTTTTCATCGGAACAAACAAGAAAGACAATGGTTTGGAAACTCTCTTCAGGTAACCTTCTATGGTTACACTTCGTCTAGCAGTAACCAGAGAAAAGAGAAACACAAGAGAAGCTCTAGTAGTGTATAAAAAGGTCAAATCATGGCGCTGTGAAAATCGAAGAGAACATTTCTGAACGTAATCGCGCATCAAACAATTGCTTAAAAAGTGAAGAAATGTTCCATTAAATTTAAGATGAAACTTGGGATATGATGGCGGCACCACTAAAGGGTGAGGTTTCAGTTAGGTGTATTAGATCCAAAGTCGAAGCCTACAGCCTGTTCGGGAGGCCGTATCGTATCGTGGATTATTTACTGCTGGTTGGTTTGGTGTGAGAGAAAAACACTGTTCCCGGCTGAAAATTTACGATCGTTTACGAGCAAGCGAACAGGCTGCTAAGCCGAAAACACGAGCATCACTTTCGTAGCTTCTCCTCCTCACAATAGAAATGGCTCCGGCTTTTCTTCCGTATGCTGAAAAAGGGTGTCGTTTTCGCGAACTCTTGTGTTGCAATTGCGGCCGGAGTCGCACCAAATACTCAGCGGCAGGCAAGGCAGTAGGTGTTGAATCGTTTTCAACACCTTTGCACAAATCCTAGATCCTACCACAGTGGACAATGGAAAAGGAACTCGATTTTGTGCGAGCAAGATCACTGTCTAGATAACGACACCATCATCATTAATTCATCATCGAAGGAAGGCGAGACGAAACACGGCAGTGTGCTGTGTGCTGTGTGCGTGCATGATAAAAACGCACTACTAATTTCCAAATCCTTAGTGGCTTTCGTTGGTTCCACGTCACCAAAGACGAATGAATCAATAATCAAGCTGTTCTACACTTCTGTGGGGCGCGCACACTGACACAGTGCGTGCGTTATCACAACATCCAATGCTGCCGGAGCTGGACGACGACGTCACGGTTAAAGAGAGAGCAGCTTGCTTGTTCTCATTCCATTCCTCCACTGGAGGCGAGTGAGTAATTAGCACTTGCGTCATCGCCATCACCAACAAGCCAAGTGCGTGAGCTCGTCGATTACGCTGCTCCTACGCGTCGTCTCTCCCGCTGCTCTGCTCCACTCGTCACTCGATATTTCCCATCTGCCATCAGAACTACTTCTCCACCCGTTCTGCTCTGCTCCGCCTCCGCCTCCGCCTCCGCGCCCAATTCTTTCTGAGCCGGAACCGGAGGCGGAGACCGACCCCGCGCGCGCGGCGGAGCGATGGAAGGCACCGTGCTGTGCGCGGCGAACCACGCGCCGCTGACGCCCATCAGCTTCCTCGAGCGCACTGCGCTCGTCTACCCCGACCGCCCCGCCGTCGTCGCCGCGGGCCACGCCGCCGCGCCGCGCACCTGGCGGGAGACCCGGGACCGCTGCCTCCACCTCGCCGCCGCGCTCGCGGGGCTCGGCATCGCGCGCCGCGACGTGGTGAGTCCCTCTCCAGCCGCTGCCTGCCTTCCTCTCCTCTGCTCTCTTCTTCTTCTTCCGTGCTACGGAGCGGTAGATTTATTCGGCCATTATTTACCTGCCGCCGTCCAAGCATTCACTTTTACTGCTGTTGCTGTTCTTGGTTGAAAAAGGCTCCGTTTTAATTCCATGCGAGTAGATAGTGTTCATGCCCGAATTCATCAACTATTCGACCACCTGAATTGCTTGCGAATTGTGTTCGGACCGAATATCGTTTCATCAGTAAGAAGCTGCTACTAGTAGGTTCAGCAATCGAATCGAATTGGCCGATTCTCAATCGCAGCTGAGCTGCCGTTGCTGCCCCGTGCAGGTTGCGGTGTTCGCGCAGAACATCCCGGCCTTCTGCGAGCTCCACTTCGGCATTCCCATGGCCGGCGCCGTCATCTGCGCGCTCAACTCTCGCCTCGACGCCGCCATGGCGTCCGTGCTGCTGCAGCACTCGGAGGCCAAGGTCGTCTTCGTGGACGCCGCGCTGCTCGGCGTCGCGCGAGAAGCGCTCCGCCTCATCTCCCAGCAGGCCGCCGGCGCCGGAGCAAGCAGCAGGGTGCCCACCGTGGTGCTAATCAACGAGGTCCTCGACGAGCCGCCGCCGCCGCCGTCGACAACTGATCGGTACTACTACGAGTACGAGGCGTTCCTCGGCAGCAGCAATCCAGAGGAGTTCTTGATCCGGTGGCCGCTCGACGAGAACGAGCCGATCGCGCTCAACTACACGTCGGGGACGACGTCGCGGCCCAAGGGCGTGGTGTACACGCACCGCGGGGCGTACCTGAACACGCTGGCGTCGGTGCTCCTCAACGACATGACGGCGCTGCCGGTGTACCTGTGGACGGTGCCCATGTTCCACTGCAACGGGTGGCGCCTGGTGTGGGGCGTGGCGGAGCAGGGCGGCACCAACGTGTGCCTCCGCAAGGTGACCTCCGCCGCCATCTTCGCCGCCGTGGCGGCGCACGGGGTCACGCACATGGGCGGCGCTCCCACGGTGCTGAGCATGGTGGTCAACGCCACGGCGGAGGAGCGGCGGCCTCTGAGTCTGAAACCGAGTGGGAGGCCGGTGACGGTGATGACGGGCGGCGCGCCGCCGCCGCCGCAGGTGTTGTTCCGGATGGAGGAGCTGGGGTTCCTTGTGATCCACTCGTACGGGCTGACGGAGACGTACGGGCCCGCCACGGTGTGCACGTGGCGGCCGGAGTGGGACGCGCTGCCGGCGGCGGAGCGCGCGGCGATCAAGTCCCGGCAGGGGCTGCACCACCTGGGGCTAGAGGTGGACGTCAAGGACCCGGCGACGATGACGAGCGTGCCCGCCGACGGGCGCACCATGGGGGAGGTGATGTTCCGGGGCAACACGGTGATGAGCGGGTACTACAAGGACGCAGCAGCGACGGCGGAGGCCATGTCCGGAGGGTGGCTCCGGTCGGGGGACCTGGCGGTGCGGCACGCCGGCGACGGGTACGTGAAGATCCTGGACCGGTCCAAGGACATCATCATCTCGGGCGGGGAGAACATCAGCACCATCGAGGTGGAGGCGGCGCTGTTCGCGCACCCGGCCGTGGCCGAGGCCGCCGTGGTCGGGCGCCCCGACGAGTACTGGGGCGAGACGCCGTGCGCGTTCGTCACGCTCAAGGAGGGCAAGGACGCGGAGGGCGTGGGCGCGGAGGAGCTCATGGCGTTCTGCCGCGCGCGGCTGCCCCGGTACATGGCGCCACGGACGGTGGTGTTCGTGGCCGAGCTGCCTAAGACGGCGACGGGCAAGGTGCAGAAGTTCGCGCTCCGGGAGCAGGCCAAGACCATGGGCAGCATCTCCAGCTCCAGGTCCAGGTCCAAGAAGCCGGGAGGGTCAGGGACGAGGAGCAAGCTCTGAACTCGCGTGTCACTGCCATCGCCATTGATGGCAACATGGGTTCTAGCCGATCCGTCCTGGTCCAGTGGTCCTGCATGTGCATGTTCATGGGGAAAGAGAATCATCCAATGATCCTGATTCATTATTTCAGTAATAACTTAACCTTCAATTATCTTAATAAAAAAATGGAGGTGCATCTGGAAAACAATGGACTCGTTGGCATGATTAGTTTAATTGTGTTTGTTTGTTTCATTGTTTGTGTGCGTGTGTCTCGATTCTGCCCTTGCCGAAGGGGGGGGGGGTTCGCTTCTGCTCCATATAAATTTTATGACCCACCCTAAAAGGAAAAGCTCTAATTTTTAACCAAGCCTAGTGGAGGGTAAATCCCTAGACCTAGAAGAGCACCAGCAGGATGAGCTCCATAGCTGGGACGCCGCCTCCTCATCCCCTTCCCTGTCCCCACATAGGTGATAGAGGCGAGGTTCCATGCCGACCACATCAACTGCCACACTCAATCTCCACAACGAGCTGTTGTGGGTGAGGTCACTGGCGAGGAGGTCGTCGCCCCAGATCCCCACCACCACCCCCACACCCACCCACCCAAATGCAGAGGAATAGGCTTCGATTAAGATTGCATAAGTTTGCAACAGTTAGCCCCATAATCTTGATTTTGTAGGGTGTTAGCCTATCATGTTGGTTTTACTTAGGTAAGCTTGTGAACAAAAAGAAAGGATAGCTTTTCGTTTGTTATTGACCATTTAGTTAGCAGTTGGTATCTCTCCTCTCAGATCAACTCAAATAACAGAGGAAAAAAAACATTGCATGGACAGAACCGATCGATCGTAAGAGAACTGTTGCACCAATCTACAAGTGCCATCTTGAAAGAGAAACATCACTGGAGGTTTCAAACTGGTAAACCCTGAAACAACACAAGAAAATGTTTTTAGCCACACAACAAATAAGATTATTTGGCTGAAAAAAGATGTAAGCAAAATGTCTCTAGTCCTTACTGAGTTACCCCCTAGTTACTAGGTCTTTTATATAATGACAGAACTTTGGGAAAAATGATAAGATCTGAGGTCCAATATAATGGCTGAATTTAGCAAGCTTTCCAAAAGCAAGAGTATCATGCTTCAACTATTATTAAAACATAGGACAATAGGCATCTTCCTACATAATATCACACTTGAGCAAAAAGATAAGGTAACACATCAATAACTTGCATATGGGAGGGGGGGATGAAAACTCATAAATCAGTCAAGTAGCACAACTCTTCCCAGCGGGAAAAAAGGTATTTATTGATTTCTTTATGTAGCTCAGAAGACAATGCATTACATGAACCAATGATAATCAAGCAGGGGATTCATGAGGCATAGCATATCACAACAAACCAAAGAGCTTCTACATCCAGAATGCAATAGGACCAAAGTGATCTCTATGCCTAGACACTATAAAGGAGCGTGTGGACTAGTGGTGATCTGTGGTTTGAAGCTCTCCCTTTTGATTGTACTTGAGGCCAAATATGGTCAAATGGAGAATACAGCCATCACAGTCTCCCAAGGCTTGACCCTCCTCCACTTCCTCACGTCTCACACATTGGACAAGGCAGAATCTGTTTGTGCCCATAGAGGTGAGAGAGGCCCACATGTACCTCTGCCGATCCTTGTAGAATAACTTATCCTTTGTCATCTGCCAATCCGGAGCAGTGTTGAGGCAGTCGGGGGAGACAACTTTGCAGGAACAAATGTAGCCATCCCAGCAAAGGCCAACCCACGAGTTGGTCTCACCGTCAAAGTGAGCTTGTCCAACGAATGGCAACGCCCACTCGCCATGCCACCTCCAAGCAGAATCCTTGGTGTTGAATGAGTAGGTGCCCATGCGGCCATTATTCGCCGAGGTCATGAAGATGGTGCATCCATCCGGGTGCAGCGCATAAGAGTTAACGCGGCCGCGAAATGTTGAAGGCGGCGGTGGCAGAGTCTTCCAAGACCAGCCCTCCGTGGGATGCTCCCAAGACATGGCTTCGAACGAGTGCTGGCTGTTGGAGAAGCGATACGTCAAGGCGTAGATCACCTCACCAACGGCCACAGTGATACCGAAGCCACATAGCATTTTAGGAGGGGCATGAGTGCCGATGGCCAAGACGGCCGTCTCGGAGTCGTAGACGAGGCCGCAGCGCTGGGTCATGAAGGCGAAGATCTTGGTGCCCAGGGTGGCGAAGGACATGCCAGTGTGGGGCACGTGGCAAGCCGGTGACTCTAACCGCAGGGCCAGAGGTTTCGGGAGGTGCCCGACGACCCCGCTCTGCAGGCCGTCGTTGGTGTCAAAGCTGTCAGCGTCGATCTTGTGGATGCTGAACCCCTTGTCCCAGTCATCCAAGACGAGATAGAGGTGCTCCCGACCATGCCTCGGCTTCTTGTCACCGCCGCCGGCGACGCGCGGGTTTTGGCCCTCCTGTTCCCGGTGCTTATTAGACATCCCGACTGCAGCGCGACCTAACAACAACTGTAATTGTGATCTAACCCTCCTCTGTGTTCACGAATCAGCCAATCTGAAGATGCAGCCTTGAATTTATACAGCCAACTACGGGAGGGTCTTGTGCCCTGCATCTCAAGTGTTGGAATCGGAATCAGGGGAGTTAATAGTACGCGTCTCGGATTCGCACAACAGGAAGGGAAGAGAAGGGGTGGGAATACCTGGTGGTGGGTGCTCGTCGTCGCCGAAGAGACCGACCAACTAAGGCCTCAGCATCTGGCGTAGGGCGGCGGTAGCCCACCCTGGTTGTGGTTGGACTGCGCATCGGGGTCAGGCGGTACCGAGGTTCGCCTTGCGCTCCGCTCCGACCGCATCGATCCACTCTCATGTCTTCTCAACGCAAGACAGGCAGGGTCTCAGGGACGAAGCGAAGAGAACCAGCGAGCGAGCGGGTCGCCGCCGCCGACCCTCTCCCGGAGTCCCCCTGCCCTGCCGCGCCCACAGAAGCACGGCGAAGATGGCCGCCGCATCCCCTCCTCCTGACCCTAGCCCTGGCTCTCGCCGGGGCCGCCGCAGGCAAGATCTCGGGCTTATCCAGGCAAAGAACATAATTTTTCTCTCACATCAAACCCGCCAACGATATTTTCAGTAATTGTTTATAAGTCAAACAATCCCAAATAAATAGGGCGCTCGTTGATGCTATGAGATATGTATTTATTAGCATGCCATTCGTCGGCGATTTCAAGTCACGAAACATCCTAAGTACTACTACTTCTACTATTCTTTTAGTCGTTCTTGCTTCAGTTTTGGCATGAAGCTAGCCATGCTATTGTGAAATGTGTAGCAGTCATCAGACTAGAATCGGAGCAGTAAACCTATTAAGTATGGCATCTAATGCCATGGTAAGCTTTCTACCTTTCCTTGCCATAACGGTGTGTGTTCCTACCGACAACGACCTCTGCTTATTTGGTCGGGAAGGTACGTAGGACGACTCATCACAGGTCATCATCAATTCCTATCCAAATAAATCCTTGGTTTAATAGTTTCACTTGACTTGGGGCACTTTTGAATTCCAAAACAGCTAGTGGATGCGAAAATTCATCCAGTCGATTCAGAAAAATGATGCAAATATCTTTTAATACAGACCTCGTGTATCTCTTTAATATTAATACAGATTACCCAACTTTGAAGCAATTGATGATAACAATACTATATTGTAAGAGTAATTGATGGTCAAAGCATATTTGTTTCTACTTCCTAAAGACTTGCACAAAATTTCTAGTACACCAGGCAAGGCGGGGGTACCTCCAAGAAAGCAAGGACGGAGGCTTCCATTTAAGTTCACAAGAGGTGAAGGACCTTTGTTATGATTTTTCCTACTACGTATACAAAGCATGGGAGTGCAGGAGCTACGCTACGCTCGCCATTTCATCAGGACCTGCCTATGTAGCTGACGGCTCGAGGACGATGCTCAAGGCTGTGCTCCTCGTTCCGGTGCTGCTGCTTCTCTACCTCAGGCGCAGCCGCAAAGTACACCTCTTTCTCTCTCTAAGTATATATACAATTAATCCTCTGTAGAGTCATTGTTTGTGCATGGAATGGTTTGGTTAATGCTTCCCAATAATTCCTTTGAAATTCATATATATGGAATGGTGGGCATTCTAAAGTAATTTTGGAGGAAACTAAACATGAGCTAAACTTCATTGTTTTGTTTCCTATATGTTTTCCCTGCAATGTTTCCAAAGGCATCTTTCTAATTTTCCTTTGTTTTGAAATCCTATATGATTTGTCATTCCTATGTTTTTTTTTCTATTCCTGCATATTGTACATCTTTTGTTCCAAAAGAGACCCAAATTTAAAGTTGTTGTAGTCCTCTTCGATTGCAGTTTGTGTGCCAAGGTTAATTATTGGATTTGTCTTAGTGTGGTCCATCGTGCAATAATCTGTAGTACAAACCTTTGCCTGCTTGTTATGGCACTGATGACGCGACATGTTCAGAGCAATGGCAGCCGAACAAGTCAATAGTGTACTCTAACATTATGCCGATTGGTCTTGGACTCTTGGTCCAGTGTAGTATAAATTGTCCAAGATATAAGTAAAACCTTTTGGTTCCTCTGGTCTTGGTCTTCCTTTATGTTTTTTCTTTGAGTGAGAGAAAGAAATAGTAGCTAGAAACAATATGCATGGCAACCATATATATGTCTCCCATGCATGCATACACCTGACGGTTCTTTTTTTTCTTGATGCATTAATTCTCAAAGTTTTTCGGGCCTGGTGCAAGCGGTAGAGTCTTACCCCCTGTAACCAGAAGGTCCTGGGTTCGAGTCGCGGTCTCCTCGCATTGCACAGACGAGGGTAAGGCTTGCCACTAACATCCTTCCCCAGACCCCACACAGAGTGGGAACTCTCTGCACTGGGTACGTCCATTAATTCTCACAGTTTTTCATCTTGAAATATATATCTTGTTCCAGATGGCTCGCTGGCCGTAGGGCAGTCTTTGCAAGTTGGTCAAACACTTGTTTCAGCACAAGCTATCTTTGTGTTGGGTTTCTTCACAAATGGGGACAAAACATATCTAGGAATATGGTACAATCATATAAAGCCTCAAACAGTCGTCTGGGTGGCAAACCGTGACAACCCAATAAAAGGAGGCAATGGAAGTCTTACCTTCATCCAAAGTTCTCTTGTCCTTCTGGATACAAGAAGAGGAAGCGTCCCCGTATGGTTTACTGACTCACTCAACACCAACAATCCACAAGCCTTGCTTCTTGACTCTGGTAACCTCATCATCAACGACACCACCATGTCTGGGAGTACTCCAGGTCGAGTACTGAGTACTATGGCGAAGTTTTGATCATCCCTGCGACACATTCTTGTCTGGCATGAGAATCGGGTACGACATGTCGGCGGCGAATAATGGCTTGTTGCAGCTCAGATCATGGAAGAGCGAATCAGACCCGTCTCCCGGGGACTACACCATCAGCATGGATCCGAGACGAATGCCTGAACTGCTCTTGTTCAATGGTACTGATTTGACGTACAGGACTGGTCCATGGAATGGCCAGGGCTTCAACGGCCAGCCATATCTCAAGCCGACAAACGATGTGGTGTTCAACATGGATGTGCGCGAAGGCAGCGCGTATTACTCGTTCACGGCTTTGAACACATCAGTCCAGTGGCGACTTGTCCTGATGCCAGATGGCATTGCCTATCGCTGGCGCAGCAACTCCGACAACAAGTGGGAGTACTACTGGCATTGGCCTCAGTCTATGTGTGATTCCTACGCGTTCTGTGGTCCGAACGCCTTCTGCTCCACCGCTGTCTGCCAATGCCTGCCGGAGTTCGTCCCCACGTCGCCGCGCGAATGGAGCCAGAGGAACTTCGCCGGTGGCTGCGTGAGGAGTGTGTCGCCGTTTTCTTGTTCGTCAGCGAATGGGTTTAGCAGACTCTCACTTGTTAAGGTGCCTGACACACTGAACGCCACCTTGGTTCGAGGCAAGAGCTTGGATGGCTGCAGGCAGTTGTGCTTAGGGAACTGCTCGTGCAATGCTTACGCCCTGCTTGGAGGGAGTGACTGTCTCGTCTGGTCAGGTGATCTGCTTGATACTGTTCAGCTTACTATAGGGATCGATGATTTGTACACTCGGGTTTCTCATAATGATCCGTCTCACACAGGTATGTTTGGATGATTATTCCTATGATCCTATCAATTTAAGAGTTTATTCAGTACTTTATTATACTAAAAATGGATCCCTATTCTTTTTATAGATAGACAAACTGCTATCATTGTCTCTGTCTCTGTTGTTGGAGGGTTGCTGCTTATTTCTGCATTGCTAGTATTTTGTTATCGTCGAAGTCAACGAAAGCATTTACCACTAGCACTTGGTACGCACAATTACTATTCATCATTCACAATTTTTATGTATGATAGGATTATATATCATTTCATTCGTGAAAAAACTTGTGCAATCAGAATTGTTTGGAACAGAACATGAGCATGCCCCAGGGCCTAAGCTTACAGCCCACCTTGAGCAGAGTTTAGATCTGGATGCTATCAGAGTTGCCACCAACAATTTTGCTGAACGAAATAGTATCATTTCTACCCGATCTAAGACCATCTACAAGGTACTTAATCGGTTTTCCTTTTGGAGTTTTGGTTGTGAGTCTGTTATTGAATTAGTATATATGAAGAATTTGTTATCCTTGGCATTGCTCAGGGAACACTACCAAATGTTGGTGATTTGGCAATCAAAAGACTAAACACGGAAGCGGGGCTTGAGGAGCTAAAAAATGAGGTGAAAATTCTTGCGAGGCTTGACCATCCGAACATCATAAGGATGATGGGATCCTGCATGGGGAATAACGAAAACGTAATATGCTATGAATATATGCCCGGTGGTAGCCTTGATGCAATTCTGTTTGGTATGTTTTTCTTGCAATATAAGTGGTTCCTTGCAGACATAATTATCATCAGAATAGTGTCATTTCTATAAGATGCATATATATATATATATATATATATATATATATATATATATATATATATATATGTGATGGTCGTCTTACCAGCCTTGAATTGAATCTGAGGCGTGCAGCTGAAGATGACAATTGCGGAGTCCCCGACTGGCCTTCACGTATTCACATCATTCAAGGGATTTGTGAAGGGTTACTATATCTGCATGAGCATTGCAGAATCGTTCATCGCGATATAGACCCTAGTAATATACTACTTAGTGATGGTTTCAGTCCCAAAATCTCAGACTTTGGCCTTGCAACTCTGCTTGATCAAGGCCAATCTGAAGGGAAGGCGGAGAGCTTCAGGAGAACACGGTGAGTTCATTTTGCAGCCATTATTTTTTTTTTGAACGCAATATTTTGCAGCCATTATTGCACTTGCTTTTAGTTGCGATGAGCAGAACCGATCAGTGGCTGTGTGCTTACTAACTAGTGAATTGTCCTCAGTGGATACAACTCTCCTGAGTTGTTCTACCGCAAATCGTACTCGGTGAAGTCCGATGTGTACAGCTTTGGCATAGTACTTCTGGAGATTGTAACAGGCTGCAAAGCGGCATCATTTAGTAGAGAAGGTGCTGATGACCTTTTTACATATGTAAGTACATGTTTACTCTACCTTGTCCCTAGCAAAAAATGGTCGCTATCAACAATCAGCCTGTTCGGGAGGCCGTATCGTATCGTGGATTATTTACTGCTGACTGGTTTGGTGTGAGAGAAAAACACTGTTCCCGGCTGAAAATTTACGATCGTTTACGAGCAAGCGAACAGGCTGAATACTGCAATAGAACCAAAAGAAACTGGAGGACTTAGCATAATTAGTTGCGCACTCTAAGATTTTAGATATATGATGAAAAGTTTCATTTATAAATACTTGTGGTTCTTCTCACTGTCAACCCTTAAGTTATTTCCTACTTTTTTTGGTGAAGGTTCGACAGCACTGGACTCAGGGAACTGCTGAGCAATTGAAGGATCCAAGAATGGGTGATGCTCCCAGAGGAGAGGTGGGAAGATGCATTCATATAGGTCTCCGTTGCGTTCAAGATGATCCAGACGTGAGGCCTACCATGTCATACATCAGGAACACACTAGCGGCAATTCGCTCTTAGTTGTGATGGGATCACTTGTGCGATACTAATGTATATATTATCTATCACTGGTTCACTTTGTCTATTATACATTCATGTAAGAAATATGAATGTAGAGGCTATATTTAATCCCTTTATCTAAAAATAATCACCGATTCACTGATGAATGCATGCATGTCTAGTACTGGATTGCCGGTCGTGATGAGAATTCCTGAGATTACAAATAGTGCTAGCGTCCGGACGTTCGGACCGTGCCTGCTGCTAGAGGGGGCGCGAGGGGAAAGGCAAGGCGCGGAGTCATGTGGGGTCAGACGGGGACGCAGATAGAACACCCGATCTACTTTTAAAACATCAAGATGCAACATTTGCAACATACGCCTGAAGATAGATGAAACACTTGACACAAAGCTTCTGAAGTACTTGAAAAAACACCTGAAAAACGCTTGAAACCATTGCAAACATACGCAACATCCAGATAAAACACTTGCAACATATGTGTGAAACATATTGAACATTCAGATAAACACACTTGCAACATACGTCTGAAAATACAGATGAAACATTGGGGAAAGACGCTTGCAACATACGTGTACAACCATGGTAACATATGCAACGTCCCCGATCTACCTTTGCGACATCTGAATGAAACACTTACAACATCTGAAACACTTGAAACATACTCCTTCCGCCCAAATTATAAATCGTTCTAAGAATTTTGGAGAGTCAAAGTTTTTCAAGTTTGACCAAATTTATATAATAAGATAATAACATTTATAATACCAACTAAATATCATTAAATTCTTCATTAGTTATATTTTCATAGTATACTTATCTGATGTCATAAATCTTTGTGTTCCCCTCTATCATTTTGGTCAAACTTGAGATGATTTGACTCTCCAAGATTCTTGGAATGACTCATAATTTGGAACGGAGGGAATACACTTACAATATGTGCTTTCAGCGCAATATCTCCTTACTATTTGGGAGGATGGAGGCTCATCGGTGTGTCGGGCTACGGGGCGGCGGTGTTTGTAGGTGGCGGGCCGCCGCCGGCATCTCCCATGACGCGGCGGGGAGGCAGTGGCCACACACCGGACTGGGAGAGGGCAGCTGCGCGCCACGCTGTCCTGCAGCAGCACCTTGTGGTCGTCCCCGAGGCCCACGCGGCGAACGCCTAGAGGAGGAAGCGACGGATGTACCCAGCAGGAGGAGGAGGTGGACCAGCTGGTTCGGGAGCACCAACTACGAGATGCCGGACACGACCGGGGCAGCGCTTGTCCGGGCTTCCCTTGGCGTGTTCATGCCTCTTGGCTTTTGCGACGGTGGTGGGCATTGTCTCTGGAGCAAATAGAAACGAGTGCACGAGAGGGTAGGACTTAGGAGTAGGAGCGACCGGAGAGAAGAGTTTTTTTAGAACTCCCGAGCGAATGGGAGGAGACAGATAGGCTGGCGTCGCGGCCCACTAAGCAGCGTAGCGTCCGGACGGGTGGACGGACGGACGCCCGCACCGCAGCGTTAACGATCGAGACGACGACCAAGGTAATGGTGAATCTCTACATCCGTCGCCCACCACCCAGTCTGCCCCGCTGGCTACCCGCGCTATCCAGAGAGTCGTGTCCAGGCCAGAATTCAGGCACGTGGGCCGACTCGTCCGGCCCACCCATAATTAATGGCACCAACAGAGCTGTTGTGAGAAAATTACTATAACTTGGCTGATAAGACAGGCTGTGTGTGTGACCGCTCGCCCATAACGAATTAACGATATACGACAATTCACCGTAAGTTGCTGGCCACTGCCTGCAAAGGTCCGATGGTGTAACCTCGTTACCTCCACCACCGCACCAAGGATCGTCGTACTCGTTCCTTTTTTTCAAAAAAAAAATATTTCGGTTTGCTTCGACTTTTCTAGATACTACGACTAGATAAGAAAAGAAATAGGGCTTGATTGATTGCAAGCCAATTTTTGCCAAGCCAAAATATAGGCAAGTTTTAAAGATTTGACATGCAATTGGTTTGGTGTCAAAACATTAGCAATTTCTTCCAAAATTTTGGCAAGACAACATTTTCCTCTTTTGCTAGTAGCAAGCCAATTATAAACCTTGGTTGCCTTACCAAGATATTGGCATGCTCTAATATTGGTACACCCATATTTTAGCTTGCTTTAAAATTGACATGACAAAGATTGGTGGTCAACCAATCGGGCTCATAATCACCGACCCCGCCACCCATGAGCAATAGATATTATCTTGGGCTCGAACAATTGGTGGGCCGGTGTACATAGTTGTATCCAACTATATCAATCCCGACGCACGATGCTGAATCAAGAGAGAGAATATCCGAGCATCGAATTGTCTCGTTGTGCAGCACGATGCCGAGTTGAAAAATCCAAGCATCGGGTAAAGAACATGCCTCGATGCTGGCTAAATACAATATAATATCATTCCAGTCTATACTGTACCTTTGATTTCCAAACAGATGGGTCCCACCAGCTCATATACCTCGATGCTGAACGTTGTATGCATCAGAGATGGCACCAGAATAGTTTATTTTTCAGCATCGGAGCACACCGTTGCAACTCTAAGGGTGCTTATACGGTGAGGTTTTAGGTTGAATCACTGTTTTTATATTTTATTTATGCATTTTAGGGGTGCATTCGTATTATACGCCTAAAGACGTGATCCAGGACTAAAGTTTCTTTGTCACATCGGACGTACGGATGCTAATTAAAAGAGCTAAATATAAGCTAGATATAAAACTAATTGCACAGGAACAGACTAGTTAGCGAGACGAATCTATTAAGCCTAATTAATCTATAGTTAGCACATGTTTATTGTAATATCACATTGTCAAATCATAGGATAATTAGGATTAATATATTCGTCTCGCAAATTAATCTCTGCGTGTTTAATTAATTTTGTAATTAGTCCAGATTTAATACTGTCGAACGTCCGGCTCAGATGACCATTTTTTTTTTCACACGAGCCGTACTCCCTAGCGGTGGAGCGTGTGTACCATGAGTGCGCGTGACGCGGCAGGGGAGAATCCGGCTGCCTGCCTGAGTGCCTGCGGATCGTGAAACTCCCCCGAAATCCAAGGGCTTGTTTAGATCACTCCAAAATTCCAAGTTTTTTCACTCTCTCTCCGTCACATCAATTTTTAGCCATTTGCATGGAGCATTAAATGTAGGTAAAAAAAATAACTAATTGCACAGTTTAGTTGGAAATCACGAGATGAATCTTTTGAACTTAGTTGGTCTACGATTGGACAATATTTACCAAATAAGACGAAAGTGCTACTATTCATCAAATTATCTTCATCTAAACAAGGCCCAAATCCAACTTCCACTATCCGATCGAGATTTGATGTCTTTTTGTTTGCTAAATTTGACAAAACAAAGCGAGCACAAATCCATCCACCGCATCGATCCACTCTTCTGTCTTCTCAACGCAAGACAGGGAGGCGGGCCAGCGAGCGTGCGGCTCGCCGACGACGACCCTCTCCACGGAAGCACGGCGAAGATGGCCGCCGCATCCCCTCCTCCTCTCCTCCTCCGCCTCCTGACCCTAGCCCTGGCTCTCGCCGGGGCCACCGCGGGCAAGATCTCGGGCCCCCGCACCCCCATCTCGCGCGACATCTACCACTCCAGGTGAGCTGCACCACCCCCCTCCCGGCTTCCCGTCCCTCCCGTCCACCGCCCGCAACTCGTGTCCCGCTCGCTTCCCCGACGAATCCCGCCCCGGTCCCGACGACTTATTCGTCCGCGTTAGGTTCATCTGGTTCGAGTCGCGGATTGCTCTCGGCTCACGCGTGATTGGTCTCACTGGGATTTACTATCGCTTGTGCGTAATTTGGCTTTGCTTGCTGCTCGTTTCGCCCCGACTGAATGTGTCCGACACTGTTTCATCTAAGCACCAGTTGATAGTTGATACATTACAGGCGATGCTTGTGTAGAAATGGCACTCGCTGGCGATTTCACTTTTTCGGATTTTCGGGTGCATAGTTTGGTGATTGGGACTTGGGGGAACCCTCCACCCTTCAGTTTTGTTTGATAACTCTAGTCAAGATCCAAACCTGAGAGCTTCTTGCTCCCCGCTGGCCTGCACAGCTTCTCCTTTAATAAAAACCATGCCTCTAACTTGTCAGTGCTTAGTTCATGGACCATCCACACTTTTTTCTTCGTATATGATGGCATAGTAATTTTTTTCACTTCTCTTGCTAGTGACTCTCTTCTGCGTGAAATCAAGGCTTTGGTTGCTCGGCATTCCGACAAATTGAGCGTGAGTGGTTTCCCTGTTCTTGTGCAATTGTCTTTGGTCAGTTTGCTTTGTCTCCAGCAGTCCCCTTTATCCAATTCTGAATAATGTGTTGCAGATGGACACTATCAGAACAAGCAACAAAGGCTATTCTGTGGAGCTGTTTGTAGTTACATTTAATCACTTGAAGGAGAATATGGATAATGGCTCAAAAGTTCATATCCTTCTGGTCAGTTTCCAACTAAGATTTCTTCACTCTTTCCCCCCAAATCTATGCTTCACTCGAAAAGCTGCTCAGCATATTGATCCAATATCTCAGGAACAAATATGAGTGTTCCATTAAAATATTCTCCACCATTTCAGTTCACCTCTGTTGAGAGGGTGCACGACAATGACATAAAAGAAAAAAAAAGCTAATAAACACAAGTCTTTTCATTAGTATTTGTGTGTTTATTAGTAAATTAAATTATTGATACTTTGCGGTTTTGACAGAAAGGTTCATTGTCTTCCAGAGCTTTGGGCAGCATGGCAGAGAACTTATTACCTCTGAAGTTGCATTACATCTTCTCTATATTTTAACGGAGAAGCCTAAGATCGCTGGTGTGGATCTTTCATCCTTTGAGAAACTGCTGGAGAACCTTGTAATCAAAGTGAGTCCTTATTTGTATTCAGCTCTTATATAATTGTTAATAAATTATGGAACACATTTTATAAATGTGCCCTTTGTTCTGCTATGCCCTGCACCCGACTGGCATAGCATTGGGCATGATCTTTTCTTTCAAAAGGATCCTAGGTGCATATATGTCAGGCAGGTGCTGCCCTTGTGCCAGTATTGTGATCATGAGCTTCATGTTGTCGTGCTTGCATTGTTAAAATTGTAGTGCACCATGATTAATTGCTATTATGGTGGTTGTATAGGATGGAGTGTTAGGATGCCAATTATGTTGTTCTAGTTTAAACAGTATGGATTTGGCCTTGAAAGTAGAAACATTACCATTACATGTCGATGATGTGCTTAGTATTGTCACCTTTGCTCGTGTCCTTCTGTTTGTTTCCCCTCCCACTATTTTGTTTATTATTGTTCTGTATCAAGTACATAATCACATCTTGGTGTCAGGAGTTGTAATATTTTTCACATGTGGCTTCCTCTTTTAGGTTGTGCCAATGGAAAATATGAATGGTCGCAAACGTGTCGAAGAAGGGGAACTTTGTGATAGGAGAAATGGTGATTGGTCCATTTCTCACAAATTCATCACTACAAGCAGTTTTTATGCCAGCATCTTTTTTTATATATATTTCCCTGTGGCAGGAAGAGGAGTTGATCTTAACAGAAATTGGAGTGTTGACTGGGGAATGAAAGAAAAGGTAAGTATCTCAGTAGTTTCTCAATTTTCACAGGAAAATTCGAATACCTCTCAGCACTTGCATGTTGATTATTTAAAATTATATCTTGAACTGAATCTTGGCTAGCAGTAGCTCATTGTGTGTGTGAATTTCCATGTTACACAGTTAGTTCTGTGTAATTATTTGACAAGTTTGTGTACTTCTACTTCATATCAAGCACATAAGTGCATTGCCCTTGAAATCTGATCTAGGAATGCTTATTTTGGGTATGGAGTTATATCTATGGAGAATTGGATAATTGTGGTTTTTTCATGCATTACCATGTATATTCCATGGCTGTTTCAGGTTGGGTGTTCTGCTGATCTTTACAAATGTCTATGTTTTGTGGTTTTGTGGAATCACTGGATGAACTTTTGTAGTTCAAATCAAACATACTGTAGCAGGAAAAACTAGGCTTATTGGCATCTACGATCAGTTTGGGACTTAAAGGCTTTGTTGTTGTTGTATTGGCATCTACGATCACTGGTTTTTGAGTCAAAAGTTAGATTTTGTCCATGCATCACCGTCTATATTCGTTGGTCATTGTTGTGTACTTGGGTTTAATCCTGCTAACGTTTTGTCATTTGCGGCTTTTGCGCAAGGGAACTTTTATATGTGGCAGGTTCATTGTTTTTATTTTATCTTACATGTTTCTTGTTGGGTCCAATCAAATCATACAAATATGCATGCTATTAGTCTATTGATTTTTTTGTGTGGCTTTTCATGTATTATAGGACTACGACCCATATGAGGAGAATCCTGGTATTGCTCCTTTTAGCGAACCTGAGGCCCAGATCATGAGGGAACTATCGAGGTCATTTAAACCTCATATTTGGGTGAACGTGCATTCTGGAATGGAGGTAATGCAACCCTCTTATATTCTGTTGACATCCTGTACGTGATGCATAATAACAAGTTTGATCATTGCTTATGATGCAACTAAGCGACAAAAAGATGACAAATTGACCCTTCTGGAAAGAAGCTACTTTCAAGCATGTTTCCCGTCTTGTCACATGTAAATCTTGATTACCAATTTTTTTTTATTCCTCGACTTTCTCGGGCTACATCATATAATACATTCTTTATCATCATGTGGCCACATGCTAGTGTGTCATGAACAAAGCCCAAGATATAATCAGAACAATATGATATGTATGAGTATTATAGATACCCTTTTCCCTTCATAAATGTAGCAAACAAGATGCATATTGTTTATCTATCGGGTTGTGACTCATGAATCATGATATTCACCTAGCACGGAATACTATGGTGCCTGGTTTGTTGCAATACAGCTACTACCATGATTGTTTTTTGGAGTTCTGGAAGATGAGGAAAAAGCGCATTTCAATAACTATCATAAAATAAAAATAACAAAGAAAAACCAACATAGAAAGAGAGACCTATTCCTTGTAGTTGCACAAAACCCTTCTGATGTACCACTAATGCTGCTAATTTGTCTTTCTCATCTTTTTTTTTTCTGTTCTTGAACCTTAGGCCTTATTCATGCCATATGATCACAAGAATACCACACCAAATGGAGCGTCTGCACATTTGATGCGGTCAGTCCTAGAGAATTTGAACCGTCGCCATTTCCAAGATAGCTGCCTAGTTGGGTCAGGTGGTGGATCTGTTGGGTATGTACATCTAGCATGTTCTCATTCTCTCATACTAATACTTTTATTCCTTTGTTGTTTGTCACCCCCTTAAGTTCTGTGACTTTGACATTAGCATTAAAGATAGCTCTCCAGCAAAGCAAGTATGTTCATATTTTTTATCCTTCCCTTACCAGATATCTTGCACATGGTACAACAACTGATTACATGTATGACATTGCAAAGGTGCCAATGCCGTTCACCTTTGAGGTCAGTTAATCTATTGTCTATAACTCCCTATCTGGACTAGCATAAAGCTGTACATAGACATGACAGCACTGAGCTGATGTTACTGTTATTCAGATATATGGAGATGAGAAAGCATCAACCGACGACTGCTTCAAAATGTTCAACCCTGTTGACAAGAAAACATTTGATGTACGTAAATCTTGCATTCCTGTACCTCAGGATTTTTTGGTGGCTTTGTTTCTGTCTGATCTCTACTGTGTTTTTTCCCCTGACCAGAGAGTCATTAACAAGTGGTGCATGGCATTTCTCATTCTTTTTGAGGAAGGCCTGCGAAACCTGCGCGATGCGCAGATAGTATCACAAGTCACACTGGAAAACTGGGTCCCAATTGGAGGCGACATTGTCGAGAGAAATGTGGAGCGGAAGAGTAGCCGTGACACGAGGAAACTGGAAGGCCTCGACCTTGGAATGCAGGAGCTAAGGACATACTTCCGGCTGTTTTTGCTGTCAACATTCTTGTTGATGTTCATGTTCTGCACACGGATATCAAAGAACAGAAACAGAGACTCAGGTAACTTGTTTGATCCTTGAAACGAGTACCAAAGAAAGCATTGGTTGGGGGATGGGGCCCTCCTCTGAGCTGAGTTTCGGGTGCAAGAGCGATCACCCTTCGTTGCCTCAGATGAACAAAGCCCATGAAACATTCAGCAGAGCTGGAACACGGTTCTGCTTCTGCACCCTGCTATTCGGAGTTGGCAATCCGCATATTTGGACATGACATGATGTGACAAGGCTTGTAGGATCAGAATGGTGTCAGGCAGTGTCTGTTTAGATTACAGTAGACGCCAGACGATGTTGGGTAATCATTAACAAAATTGTAACTGTAAGCTGTAAATTTGTCCATATAATCAGTTTTTTGTGATGCATAGGTTTTACGTTTTGAAGAAGGTTTTTAGTGCACGCAACCTGACTATGAAGGCTACATTTGGTGGCATGGATTGATGTAACGTCTCACTGCCCGAGTGATTTATGATGCGGTGGATATGAAATTTTTATGGCCAGAATCTCAAATTGCACGGCTTGTTTGCTGCGTTCCTTACTCCCGGTGCTTGACGACGATGTGGGGGAAGAAGACGTTGAAAATTCTTGGAATGAATTTGAAAGGTGGGCTCCTTTTGGGCCCACGACTGGGTCAGGATAAAAAAAAGGTCCAATTTAATCACGCCAGTCCAAATTAGCATGGAGAGTAGGATAAAAAAAATGGAAGTAGCTAATCAAAGCTGGTACTCCATCGTTATTAACATAGATGACCAAACGGACGGCTTATGATCCGGCACAGCCCATTAGACCGGCCGGACCCAGCACGGCATAAGAAAGCAAGGAGGTAGCCCGTGTTGTTCCAGCCCATGGGCTCGCTTGACAGCTCTAAGCTGTTGGGTAGCCACTTTGAGTTACGATAATTACTATGTTAATTTACGAGATTATAGTAACTCCTTACTAAGTGGTTTACTATAACGTTATAATAAATATCCCTATGTATTATAGTAACCCAACTATCGTAAATATGTATTAACATTATCGTAAATTAGTATATAAAATTATCGTAAATGAAGGTGACTAGAGAATATAACTTATTTTGTAGCTGGCTACTGAATATACTCTCCATATATATATATATATATATATATATATATATATATATATATATATATATATATATATATATATATATATATATATATATATATATATATCAGGGGTAGCTTTGACATACTTATGTGGCACTGATGGACGAACCGGTCGTCGTCGTCGTCGTCTCATGCCTGACCATCCGGACCGTATATATGTCGGTGCATGAAGAAAATAGCAACAACTCCATGATGTCAAGTTAACACCATTATATATCGGAGAAGTCGTCTTAGAGTTCATACTGTTGAGAATGCTTTTTAGTTTTACACCCAGTTAGCTATGATGGCCTATGGCCATTCAACACGCTCTTAATTAGTCAACTTCATTCCCGAGACCTCGGTCCCAGTATATTCCATGTGCACTGTGTGTATTTTACGTTATCCAAAAGATCCGTTCAACGAACCGTATGTATATGTATATGTCGGTGCATAAATAGAAGAATAGAAAGAACTCCATGGTGTCCAACTCGTATACAACACAGCTAGCATCACGTATGACGACTACAGACTAACTAAGGAGCGTTGACCAGTTAATTCAGTGCACGCCTAGGTCTAGGTCTAGGCGACCGCCTGGAACCAGGAGCTGTACACATCAGGTAGGTTCGGTAGTTGCTTCCACGTACCCGTCCCATCATCCATCCTGTAGAAAACTTGTCGCGGTCTCTAAATTTCCATAGAACGAGAAGAAACTTATACGTACTACAGCTAATTAGCAGATTGATGATTGATGAAAACTCGCATATATATATTTGAGTAAAAAAAAAGAGCTGCTGACATCCGTAGTCCGTAGTCCTCGCACGCATCGCCCACAGGCTTGGAGGCCCTCCAAACCTACGCTAGAACTTTGTTATTCCTTTGATTAATGATTACCGATTTACCATCGATCTAGCTCCAGAGCTACTATATATTCATTGGTTTCGTCATTTACGTATATAGATCGAGTTAGGGGTGTCCTTTGGGACTGCTCCATAAACTCCACCGTAGAACAGCTCCATTAAAAACTTGTAGTTTGTGGAGCATCCCTTTAGGTGCTCTCGTAACTTTACCTTTTTTCTGGAGCGGAGTTGCATGGAGCTGAACATATTTGACTAAAAAAAGAGAGCGAAACATAAAAACGTGAAGTGGAGCCGTCCATTCGTTCCGTTCCACGGGAATCGGGCAAAGCGCTATCAAACAATAATTTCGTCGCTTGCTTCTCCTATTTTGATTCCTTGAATCCAAGGCTTTACCACCACCAGGGAGTGGATTTTCCACGTAGCCAAATAAGGAGTACGTACGTACATGCGTCTCTCTCCGTGGGTACGCTAGTGTAAATAACAAAGGCAGAGCACAATCCCAAGATGGTTCGTTTGGCTGTCTTCAAGCCAAGAGTACGTGCGTGGCTGGCTGTGCTGAACAGCCTCGGCTAGCCCGTCGTCCGTCGTCCATCTTAGTTTTGCTCCGAAACGAACATGATGGCACTTTATTTGTTTAACTACACGTACCCATGGTTGAAGCTTAAATACACGCATGTTGTTCAAGTTTAATTAAGAAGGAAGAAGGAGCAGAGCATGCATGTGCTGGTGGTGACTCCTGCAATGCATTTATGCATGCATAGAATACAACAAATCCTTTCGTGTCCGATCCAGGTCCAGGGTTTACATATATATTAGATTATTATATTATTAGATCAAGATCAAAAAGCAGTCGTCGTCAGTGAGGTGTAGAACGGAAGAAGAGACGATGATGCGCACCAAAATGGGGCCCATGGGCACCTACGTACACCATTGAGAGGTGGCCTATTCCCGGCCCTCCAATGAGAGGTGGCCCGTGGCCGGCCCATTCCGTTCCATTGGCAAAAAAAACAAAACACACACACACACACACACACACACACACACACACACACAAAAGGAAGATTCACAAGGTGGCCAAAGGGAGGATTACAAGATGGCAGCAAAACAAGGAGCTAAATTACAACAAGGATGGAGAAAACCTCCAGAAGGTTATCTTACTTTAAACATAGATGCTTCCTACGATGATGATAGGAGATGCGGAAGTGCCAGTGCAGTTATCAGAGATGGATCAGGAGGTATGGTTGCAGCAACAAGTACCTACTTTTATTCCCCACCTAGTGGATGCATCAATGGCGGAAGCATGTGCTCTAAAGGAGGGGTTGATGTTAGCTCAACATAATGGAGGCAATCGTTCAATCCGATTGTATAGAGGTCGTTGAAATTACGGGGAATGGAGGTTTTACTGCAAACTCAGATGCCGCAATATATGATGAATGTAACGTTGTTTGGAGTGGTTTCTAGGAGATCTCTATTGAGCACTTAAGCGGGGAAGCAAACCAATTGCACATGAACCTACTTTATTTGTTTAATTACACGCATGCATGGTTGAAGCTTAAATACACGCAGGCATGTTGTTCAAGTTTAAGAAGGAAGAAGGAGCAGAGCATGCATGTGCTGGTGGGGACTCCTGCAATGCATAGAATACAACAAATCCTTTCGTGTCCGATCCAGGGTTCTCTTACATATATTATATTATTATTATTAGATCAAGATCAACAAGCAGTCATCATCAGTGAGGTGTTTAAGAACGGAAGAAGAGACGATAGATGCACACCAAACTGGGGTCCATGGGCTGGCTGGACCCTACACGTAGGTACAACGAGAGAGGTGGCCCATTCCGCTCCATTGGCAAAAAAACAAGAAGAAGAAGAAGAAGAAGAAGAAGAAAGGAAGTTTCACAAGGTGGCCAAAGCTCACGCCAAGTCGTCCCCTCACCAACGCATCGCATCGCATCCCAAATCCCATCCTCGTCGTGCCATCCATGATCCATCGTCAAGCCCAAGGAAGCATTGGAACCCCAAATCTCACCAACCAACCAAAGCGCGGCCTTGCTTGGCAACCGCCTTTGCCTGCGTGCGGGGCCGCGGGATCGCAACGCGGGCGGCACCACCTGCCCACCACCACCGTACCCCTCCCGTCGCCGTGCTGGGTGGCGGGTGCTGCTGTCGCCCGCCGCGGCGCTTCCCTTCCTTCTCCTTGATAACCCCGTCGCTCCCAGCGCCGTCCTGCCGCGGCGCTTCCTTCCTTCCGTATATATATATGGCCACAAGTAGCGAGCGAGCAACGTAGCCTCCTCCTCCTCCTCTTCTGCCAAGCGTATACTAGGCAGCAGCCCGGCCGGCACCGGCGGCCGTGACGACGAAGATGAAGCCCGACGGCGCCGGCGGCATGGTCACGACGACGGCGACGGTGATCCCGCCGGACGACCTCCGCTCGCGCAGCCGCCTGGCCGCCGTGCTGGCGCCGCTCCTGCTCTTCCTCGCCGCCGTGCTCTCCTTCCCCTCCACGCTCCGCCTCGCCGCCATCCCGCTCCCAACGCCGCTGCAGCCGCCGGTGGTCACGACGCCCTACCAGCCCCGTCGGAGCGCCACCACCGCCACCTCCACCGCGCCACCGCCAGCGAGGGTCGCCGTCTGCCTCGTGGGCGGCGCGCGGCGGTTCGAGCTCACGGGGCCCTCCATCGCGCGCCACGTCCTGGCCGGCGGCGCGTTCGCGGTCCCCGCATCGGCGGCGCCGGGGCGCCACAGCAGCAGCAACCAGACGGCCGTCGACGTGTTCCTGCACGCCCCGCTGGACGCCGACGCGTACAAGCTGTCCCTCCTGGCGCGCGCCGCCGTTCCCGCGACAGGCAACAGCAGCAACAACGTCAGCGTCGCCGCCGTCCGCGTGTTCCGGCCGGAGCGCCTCGACGTGACGACGCCGCCGGCGCGCGCGCAGGTGCTCACCGCCCTCAACTCGCCCAACGGCTTCCAGGTCAGTCGCATTCTCTCTCTCTGGATCTCCCTCTTGCTCGATCGTCGACTTGGATCGCATTGGTTCCTTGTTTGTTCCTTGCGTTGCTTGCATG